GTGTGTGTGTGTGTGTGTGTGTGTGTGTGTGTGTGTGTGTGTTTGCATGTACACACACAGTGCCTGGCAGCCTCTCCCTCATTTGTTATTCACCTCTCATCTCTCCAATTTGGAGGGTCTTTAATCTGTGTTGAAGATGAGGAGGTAGAATGAAAGTGGTTTTGCCTGCTTTTGTCCCCTCATCACATATCAATCTAACACCTGACGGCACGTTTTGAAAACAGAAGTCGTGTTATTTGCATGGTCTTAGTCTGTTCAGGCTACTACAACAAAAATACCATAGATTGGGGGTTTAAGCAAAAATATTTACTTCTCACCGTTCTGGAGTCTGGGAAGTCGAAGCACAAGGTTTTGATGGGCTCAGTGTTTGGTGGACGGTCCACTTCCAGGATCATAGTCTGCTGTCTTTTTGCTGCATCCTCACATAGAGGAAAAGGAGCTAGAGAGCCTTCTGATTATAAGGGCACTAATTTCATTCATGAAGACTCCAGCCTCCTGACCTAATTACCTCCAAAAGGTCCCACCTCCTAATATAATCACACTGGGGGTTAGGATTTCAACATAAATTATGGAGGGACTCAAGCATTCAGTCTGTTGTAGCATCTTTAGTATTTAGTCACAGTCTACCAAGTCTTGCCTGGGAAAGTAATAGTCTCCTATCTTAAAGCACAGGGAAGAAAATATATATGTTATTTCATAACCAAAGGAAAAAATTACTATAAAGTTGAGACATATTTCTGAGATGAATCTTGCAGTTTATTTCACTGGCGTGTCATGTTATTTCCACTGTAGATTAAGCAATAGGTTAATTAATTAATTAATCACCGGGCTCAGAACTGAGCTTAATACAGTAGAGGAAGCACTTAAAATGTCAGTAAATTGGCAAATTAACAAAAAATTTCTTTCCTGTGCTTGATTTGTAAACTAGTCATAAAAAAATTTAAAAGTTGTTTAATAATAGATTTGAACCAAAAATTATTTAACGCTTATGAGAAGTATTATTAGATCAAGAAAATTTTAATTTGGTGTATATATTCCATTCCTTCCAGATTTGGCGTGTAGAAAACAATGGTAGGATCCAAGTTGACCAAAACTCATATGGTGAATTCTATGGTGGTGACTGCTACATCATACTCTACACCTATCCCAGAGGACAGATTATCTACACGTGGTAAGTTTATATCTGGCAAAAATTTCAGGTTCCACAAGAGCCAGATTTTGCTCCAAGGTATTAAATTCCATGCCTTATGGGGTAGAATTATCCTATAATCACCCCAGTGAGATTTGTATAGCAGGCATATAGTTTTTTTTTTTTTAACATGATTTTGACTATGTTTTGCAACTGCCATCCACAGGCAGCAGAAGTTACATAAAAATGATGCTATCTAGACTAGGAAAAAAGTTTTGATATCCTAAACCAGTAATGTTCTCCTAATGGATATATAATTGAATATCTCATCTCGTATGCAGGCTAACACTGCAACAACAAGTGTCAGGTACCATGTCTTCTTATTGTTAAAATTCACGAGGTCCATCCTAATTGGAACTGTGAAGTTGCAATATGGCAAAACTTCTAGGAGATACAATTTGTGATTCCATTGAGACCTCAATTTGATGCAGTTCTTATTCTTTGTTTCCATTAAATTCACAAAAATAATGGAAAAAATAAATATGCAATTATGTTTTCATCTTACATGGTTTTCCATGATAATTTGAGTTAATTGAAGTCTAAATTTACTTAAATAATTTAGAGTAAATACCAATGCCCTGTTCAAAGAGGAAATGACCAAATGTCTAACCAAGTAATTTATGTACATACACCATGCTGGGATATGTCAAGGGACAGGGATTCTGCATCAAATTATATAATGTGAAATTCTCTAACTTGTTATTAAGTGACATCAGGTAAAAATGGAATATTGCTAAGAAGGCTGGAAAAAAGAAAATAATTCTCAAAAAAGATCTCCAAGTAGAGAAATGTGGGTGTAAGGTACAAAGGCAGGGCAGGATTCTACCTTTCCTTATATGGTGATCACAACCTTTGATAGGTGTATAGAATATACATGCATTCAGTACTCTGCTTACATGGTGACATTTCTTTTTGATGAATCTCACACACAAAGACAGACTCACACCCATCCCTATAGTCTGGTCATGTACCCTGCCCAGTTCCTTGAGTCCAGCCAATTTCAGGAGATAGGATGACACCAAAAGAGTGGTCTGGGAACCGAGGCATCAGTATCTCCTGGGAGCCTCTAAGAAATGTAGACTCTTGTGCCCCACATTTGACCCACTAAGGCAGAACCTGCATTTTAGCAAGGACATCAAGTAATTCATATGCACTTTCGTGACTGACAGGCACTCCCCCAGGCAGTGGTTTAGAACACTGACTATATACTGGAATAACCTGGACAATTTCTCATAATTCCAAATGCCCTCACCCACACTAAATAAATCAAAATCTCAGCTGGGGGGACTCCTGAAATTCTAATCTATATCACCACATCAATGTGAACCACTGCACTCAGGCTCATCTCTAACCCTATAGTCACTCCACATGTTGTCCTAGAAAAATGCATTTAGCTATTTAACTCTGCAGTTAACGTGTCATCTTAATAGCAATCTTTTTGTGAGCAGCATGTTTTCGCTGGCAACATGCCAGATGTTTTCTTTTCCTTGTTTTTTTTTTTTTTTTTCCTTCCAAAAAAAAAGTGGCACAGGGGAGATTAAACAGGTTAAGTAATTTAACTCAAAGTCACAACTGGTAAACCAAAATTTTAAATCTTAATCTATTGGTCTATTTAAGGCCCAAGTGTATCTATACCAGGTAGTTATGTCTTTATTTTGCAATTCCCTTTTCTAAAATTTTAATTCAGAAAAGTGTTTGTGCAACAAAATCATGGCATTTATGGGGTAAATTAATTAGTCCCAGTTAGCTTTTCTTTTACATTTTATTTCATTATCTTCCTGTTAATTATCTGAAAATCATAATTGATTGTGGCACTTAGATCAAATGAAAAAAAGACTAAACAAGTAATGCAAAAAGAGTGCTTTGAAAAATTAACAATTGTAACCCATATAAATGCCTATGTGGCCATATTAAAATAGAATAAATCAGGTTACAAATTTTAAATACTAAACTTAAGTTTTAAATAGTAGCTATTTCTTAAATCATTTGAAAGTGTTTATTGAGCATTTTATGTGCCAAATATTCTGCTAATTTCTGGAGATACAGTGGTGGAAAGAAAAATACAATCTGTGCCTTCAGCAGCTTATACGTAATGAGAAGCAGATAATTAATAGGTATTTTTAGTGCAATATAAAGGATTTTATGTAAGATCAAGCTGAGTGATCTTTGGATAATTAGAAACAGACCCTCTGCCATCCTCCTAGGCTATTAGTAAAAGGCTCTGCTATAGTATGAATATTTGTACCCTCTAAAACTCATGTTGAAACTTAATCTTCAGTGTGGAAGTATTGGGAGATGGGGCCTTTAAGAGGTGATAGCCCTCATGAATGGATAAGTCTATTAATGGATTAATGGGTTATCATGAGAATGGGACCAGTGGCTTTATAAGAAGAGAAAGAAACCTGACCTGGTACACTCAACCCACTCACTGTGTGATGCCTGCACTGCCTCAGGACTCTGTAGAGTCTTTGCCAGCAAGAAAACCCTCACTAGATGTGATCTCTTGACTTTGGACTTCTTAGTCTCCATAACTATAAAAATAAGTTCTTTTTCCTTATAAATTACCCTGTCTCAGGCATTCTGTTATAAGCAAGAGGGAACAATGTAAGACAGGCTTCTAGAAAAAGTGACATTGAAGTGGGACCTAGATAGGCAGACAAATAGGGAAGATGTTTCAAGCAATACAGGAAAAAAGTGTGCTCTAATCTACTTGTCATAAAGTATGGCTGGAACACATTTAGGGGGCAAAAGATAAAACCAGGGAAATTAGAAGGAGCCAAATCGTAAATGGCCTCATAAACCATCCTGAGGAGGACGAACTTTATTTTCAAGATATTGAGTGCCCCTCAGAGACTTTGTATGGGGTGTTATATGATTGGTTTTCATTTCATTTCATTTCACTTCACTTCATTTCATTTCAGACAGAGTCTTGCTCTGCCGCCCAGGCAGGAGTGCAGTGGCACCATCTCCGTTCACTGCAACCTCTGCCTCCCAGGTTCAAGCAACTCTCCTGCCTCAGCCTCCCATGTAGCTGAAATTAGAGGCACACACCACCACGCCTGGCTAATTTTTCGTGTTTTTAGTAGAAATGGTGTTTCACCATGTTGGTCAGTCTGGTCTTGAACTCCTGACCCCAAGTGATTCACTAGTCTCACCCTCCCCAAACTGCTGGGATTACAAGCATGAGCAACCATGCCTAACCTGGTTTTCATTTTAGATAAATTATTCTGATTGGCATCTACAGAATGGATTGGTGGAGGAAGGCTACCAGCAGGAAGACCATTGGGAATGTGTTGCAATAATTCAGCTGAATGATGTGGCCCGAATTGAGTAGTGACAATAGGGAAGGAAAGAATGAGACTGTTTTGCAAGGTGGCAAGTTATTGGCACCAGAAAGACTGTTTATGGGGAATGGAGAAGAAGACAAAGTTGAGAATAACCCCTGGGTTTCTGGTCTGAGGATAAATGGGTAGTGTGTTATTTCCTGAGATTAAAAATCTTAGGAGGAAGACAGGTTTGGCCCACACTGTAACAAAATGCAAAAGGAAAAAGAAGACAATGAGAAGGCACCACATTGTTAATAGTTACTGTCTTTGGAAGGGAATGAAGGAGATGGTCATTTAGTTTTCTTCATTTCAATTCAAAATGTTCAACATTTCTATGGTGAGAACATATATATTTGGGTGATATCAAGAATGTAAATTAGATACTTCAGTCCTTTTGTGAGTCTTTGCCATTTGAAATCATGGATGTTAAGTATGTAAGTTTGTTAGTGTAGTATGGTTTGTGGAACTTCAAAAGCTTCCACAAAGGTAGTGAAGAGGCTTTCAAAAAATAAGCAGTTCCATTGAAGACTGGCTTTCAAATTAAACAACTTTCCAGTTTACGTGATAATTTCAATAAAGGATATAAATAGGTTAACTCCAAGAGGTAGAGTTAAAGGTGAGAAACTAAAATTAAGTCCACTTCTGAATACACACAAATTGGTCTTTCTCAGTTATGAAACCACTTGTATTCTGAAATGAAAGGACAAAAATGTCAGCAATGATCTTTTCTCTAAAACATCAGGTAATTAAAATTGAACAGATGACAATGATCAATCTCTTAAAGTAGTAAATCCAATTTTTATGCAGCACTCATATTTAATGAGCAACAACCACCACAGGTTTATAAAGAAAAAAATATGTCAGAGTATATTGCTTTGTTCAGCATAAGATTTCAAAATTAGAAACAAAGAATGACTGTGTTGCTTCTTGATTGTAGTGGAATTCTTGAATCTGTGTGAATGGAAGTATGATACCTAGGATCAGGAAGAGAGGTTTAAGATGAGTAGATAAGTATTTATTAAGACTGTCAGAAGGCAGAAGCTTAGTTATGTTTTTCAGGTTTGCTAGTTGAAATACTCCAAAAAAATAAAAGGAGCAAAATGAAGACAAAAGTTGGGTAACATTGTCTGTTTGGTGGTTGCATTTCTTCCCTCCAGAATAAAAGCAAAATGGAAAACCACCATTTTTAACAGCAGCTGGAAGCAAGAACTCAGGAAACCACAGATGTGACAAAGACAGATGTGACAGACCTTGCGGTGGCTAGTCATCATGCAGCTCCATGTAACTCCCCACCTAGGTCTCCAGTGCACGCAGAGGTGTTGGTTAGTGCTATAGGCTCATGCAAAATGTAGGCTATTGACATTAAAACACTACATTTTTAGTAGTTTCTTTATTAGGGAAAGTACTTTTTATTTTCTTATCAACATTTGTGTGCATTTTTTTTTTGCACCCCTCTGTAGAACATTTTACATCAACCATTTGCCTATGCTGGTCCAATGGAAAATTCTGTGATAAGATACGTACCCTGTCCCCAGTGTTTTTGGGGGTGTGTGTGTGTGTGTGTGTGTGCTTCCCAAGATAGCAGATTATTTTAATCTGTTCTGAGTAAGGAACAGTTTACTGTCAAAATTTTAGAAGAAAAGATATATCACGTTGGTGCAAAAATAATTGCAGCTTTTGCTGTTACTTTTCATAGCAAAAGTTGCAATTACTTTTGCACCAATCCAATAGTTAACTTTCAAAGTCTAAATCCAAGTTTATTATTCCTGCTGCTAATCACTAGTCGGAAATGGGAAAGCTGGCTAAAAGTAAACAATGCTCAATAAATGCTTTTACTACGTTTGGGGTTTTGTTTTGTTTTCTTTTATTGTCTTCTCCACAAGCTCATCAAACAGCAGATCTCCCACATGTTACAGGTTAAAGTGAGACAGAGTTAACAGCCACAAGCTACCCTAGAGAGAGAGGCTTACAGATGAACTGGACATATTGATTGACTGATCCTTACCTGAGTGCTGGAAGCTTAGCTTCTTGTACAGCCTTATTAATAATTCCTTAAGGTGGGTGGGGCACGGTGCCTCATGCCTATAATCCCAGCACTTTGGGAGGTCTAGGTGGGTGGATCACCTGAGGTCAGGAGATTCAGATCAGCCTGACCAACATAGTGAAACCCTGTCTCTTCTAAAAATACAAAAATTAGCACCTGTAATCCCAGCTACTCGAGAGGCTGAGGCAAGAAAATCGCTTGAACCCAGGAGGCGGAGGTTGCAGTGAGCCTACTTCACACCACTGCACTCTAGCCTGGGTGATGGAGTGAGATCCTGTCTCAAATAATAATACTAATAAATAGTTCCTTATGGAATTGCTAAAATGACAAAATGGGGCCTCTCCATTGTCTACGTCTCATTATTATTTTCTTGATTTTTCTGGGTTCCAGACATTTGGTACATTCTCACCAAATATTCATAGAAAGACAAACTGCCCCTAACATCTAACCTATTATGTTTGGTATTCTCATCTCAGATGGATTATTTTTCACTGTAGAGATGTTTTCTTAAAAATAAGCAGCTCCAACTTGAAATTGGATGAACCTGATTACTTGGCTAAGTTATGTAAGGAGCAAAAGCTCAATTTCTTTAAAAAGGAGGTAAAAATGCGTGCAATAAAATAGATAAAAATAGCCCTGCAATGTACAATTCTAGACAACACATAGGACAATTCAGTGTTAAGAACCTTCACAAAAACAATAGCTTAGCAGCTCATATCATGCTATAACTGTTTCTTCTTGATCTTTAAGATGATCTTAAAACTTAAAGGCAAGGTAATTTATTTCACTTTCATTTCTCTAGGCAAGGAGTAAATGCCACACGAGATGAGCTGACGACATCCGCGTTCCTGACTGTTCAGTTGGATCGGTCCCTCGGAGGACAGGCTGTGCAGGTTGGGATATTTTTAACCCCAAAACTCACACAAGTTACAGTCTTGCTAGCTTAATGGATAGCTATAGCTCCCTCCCAAGTTGGGATAGAAATTTGACTTTTTCTTGATAGGAACTATGTTTTCAGTTTGAAATTCAAATATTCCTACTCTCACTCCAAACTAGTTCTCTCAGATTTTGGAAAGGAGGTAGCAAACAAACACAAAAACAAAAAACTATCAACAGATTTAAGATCCCAAAAGAATCTTCCCATTAGAATCATACCCTGTCAGTGATAGTTGCTTGACATTAAAACTGTTTTACCTTTATTATTGTTTCCAGCTGTTGTTTAACAGAAGAGGTAGGCAGATTAATGCCTCCAAGGTGTTCGTGTCCTAATCCTTAGAAACTGCAAGTGTGTTATGTTACAAAGCAAAGGAGCGTTAAGGTCGGAGATGGAGTTACGGTTGCTCATCAGCAGATCTTAAACTAGGGAGATAATCTGGGATTACTGGTGGGCCTAGTGTAATCACCATGGTCCTTATAAGTAAAACAGAAAGCCAGATTCTGTTTGGGGAACAGTCAGCATGGGGAAGACTCAACCAGTGATTATTAGCTTTCAGGATAGAGGGAACAATTATATATTATATAGTTGCAAACTCCTAGAAGGAGGATATTGAATGTTCCCAACACAAAGAAATGATAAATGTTTGAGATGATAGTATGCTAGTTACCCTAATCTGATCACTATACACTGTATGTATCTCATAAATATCTACAATTATTATTAGTCAGTTAAAAAATAAAATTTAAAAAAAGAAGATGGAAGAGATGCCCCAGCAAAGGAATATGGGCAACCTCTAGAAGGCAGAAAAAGCAAAGAATGGATTAGTTCCTAGAGCCTCTAGAAGGGACTATAGCCCTGTAATAGCTTGGTTTTAGCCCCATGACTAAATTGTCATTCCAGATTTTAGCCCAGTGATTAAATTAGCTCCATAACTCATTTCAGACTTCTGACCTCCAGAACCGTAAGATGATAAATTTGTGTTTTTTAAGCCACAAAATCATGGTAATTTGTTAGATCAGCAATGGGAAATAAATACAACAGTACAGAACAAGCACAGATTAACAATTCTAATTAATAGGTAGAAAATAGAAGCATTTTCTTATACTCTCAAATCTTAAACAGGCGTAAGTTATGTTTTGCACAAATATACATAAATAAACCTTGATGAAGTAGCATGAGTCCTTATCTTCCCTTTAGGTACCAGAATCTTTACTGAAACAAATTCCCACACCCAAAAGTGAGGAAGGAAGTGGTGGAGAGAGAGAAAGAATGAACAGAAGTGGGGGAGGGACAAAGAGAAAAGGTAGGGAGAAAAGACAGGGAAGGAGAGGGAAGAGACGAGAGGGAAATCATGGAGGAAGAAATGAGATGGCTAAGAAGGAGGAGAGAATAGGAAGGGCAAGAGAGAGGATGGTGTGAGAGAGAGGAGAGATGTATTTTTTTTATTTGGGTATTTCTGAAATTACTTGTCGAGAGTGACTGAATCCAAAATCAAAATGAAAATTTCATGTAATTATAAATGAGTCAACTTTTTAGTGTATCTAACTTATCTATCTATCATATCTATATCTAGAGACAGAGAGAGAGATTAAAATAAAGAAAAAGGAGCAGGAAGAGATACTATGCTGCTTTATTATAAAACTTTAAATGTTATACAATGTCAGACAATATCGGTGTCTAGCTCTAGATTTCCTCACTGTGTTTAAGAGACTGCTGTTTCTAGCCTGGCTCAACATTCTGTTCTCTTTTCTCAAGTTCAGCTGCTCCTCCTTTTATATTTGTGGTGGAGTATCTGCTACTTGTTTCATGAAAAAGTTTCATGAAAAAGTTACCATGAAAAAGTTTTGATCTTTGTTTATTTAATTCCTTACCACATAACTGACATACAGACTTCAGGGAGACCTGAGTTTCCTCTAGTGTGCTCCAATGTGTCTCTGTTTTCTTGTTCATTCTGAGAGAGGGCACTTGCTTGTTCCTTGTCCTTACAGCTAGCTTAAGGTTTTTCTCTCTCTCTCTCTCTCATTCCCTGTCTCTTCCCTAGCTGGAGCTGCACACACTGCTGCCTGTTTTCTGCCTGCCTGTTTTCTTTGGCTAGTTTTTGAGAAGGCATCTGCTCCCATGTGGTAGGAAAAGATATTACAGACTATAGTTCAAACTGAAAGCGGGTGTTTACTTGGCCGGTGCAGTGATGTTTCTGATACAGCAACATCAAACATTCCCTTCACATGATTGTGCCTGTTTAACTTCCTCATTCCTGATGTCAAGAGACCTAAGATTCTATGTGGTATAAAAGGGCTTTCCTATCTTTATGTGTGTAATTGCTTATTTAAATGTAATAATTAAATGGAGCAGCAAGTCAGACGCTTTAGAACATAAAGTATTAAGATGTGGAGGCTGAAGTTGGTCTTCCATTTGGTTTCCTTTCCATCTTGGTAAGAGTTAGTATATACATAAAACAAGTTAAATCTAAATTTAAAGGTGCATATTAATTTTCAAAAACAAATTAACTTGCTAATTTTTAATTAAATTAAGATAATTGAATTCTTTAAATGCACTTAGTGCTATGCAATTTACTTGATCTTTAAGGTATGCCTTACCAAACTATTAAAAAACTTTGAAGACATGCATTGTCTTACATATTTCATAGTACTATATTTGATACACTAGATTAATGAATTCCCATGAATCCTAAATTGACAACAAAATGGTAATTTTTAGTTTAATCACTAGATGGCAGTAGCTTACAATAATGCATTAAAAAAACTAAAGTCCTGTATTGCGGTTTTAAACGCTACTTTGTAGAATATATTAACCATACTGAACATCTTTTTTTTTTCTTTCTTATTCTCCTTTGACAGTAAGGGATGGGACTTAATCAGTGGTTCCATTTCTCTCGTGTTGGCAATTTAAGTTTTCTCCATGTCATGTGAAATGCTAAGCCAACAGTTTCAGGTATTTGCGTGACTATAACTGACAAAACATGTCCATAATTTGCTGCTCACTTATTTGGATGCCTACTAATTGAAATATATTTGCGAAGTCAATTATTTCCAATGCCTCTGTGCCTTCCTATAATGGTACATGCATCAGGGTTCCCATTCACCTGGCTTCTAGACTCAAAAAAAAAAAAAAAAAAAAAAAAAAAAAAAAAAGAAAAGAAAAGACAGACCAGGGGAAGTGAGACAACTCAATTTTAGCATAGGGCAGAACAAATGAAAACAGTTGGAGACTGACATGAAATTTGAACTCTTTATGTAAATGCATCAATAGTTTGTTTGAGAAATCAGAAATTCTAATCCAGCATTTGGGGTTAATAAATAAAAATCAAGCAAATAATTTCCCTCCCCCCCTTTTTTTTTGCAATTTCCTTATCCTAAAAAGTAGTATTTTTAAGTACTAAAAGGTAGTCTTGGCTTATATTAAGCATATTCACTATTACATTTCTATAGGTAAGAAAACATATTGTTTATTTTTGGCAGTTTTAATGCTTGCATAGAATCTTTGTGTATGCATAATTCTTTTATTTTACAAATGCAGAGATAAAAATAATGAGTATGATCTGGGGTCATCTTAAGTTGTGAAGCATTTGAATGCACATCTCTTAACCTTCTGAATCAAATCCAAAACACACAAGACCCTAGTACATCTGCAAATATCTGTAAGTGTTACTGGCGCCCTTGAAAGAGGAGTAATTTTCACATAAGGTCACAGACACCAGCACTTTGGTGTTATCTTTTCTCTTTTGGAGATGTAGATGAGCAAACTTACATCTTCATACTTTTCAAAAGCAGAAAGTATTGCGGCATGGTGATGTTTCCCTGACAAGAAACTACTCAGGGACACGGTGCCTAGGGTAACAACAGATTCTTAAGTCCAAATGGAAAACTGACTATCATTAGCCTATATTTTCTGTTAATCATTATTCCTCCTGCTCTTAACTTTTTATTTTTTGTTTTATTTTCAAAAATAAAAAATAAGAATACCTTTAGAACTAAAACATTCTTTCATAGCACTCTTAATTATATTTCTTTTATTCTTCTCCCCCATCAGATCCGAGTCTCCCAAGGCAAAGAGCCTGTTCACCTGCTGAGTTTGTTCAAAGACAAACCGCTCATTATTTACAAGAATGGAACATCAAAGAAAGGAGGTCAGGCACCTGCTCCCCCTACACGTCTCTTTCAAGTCCGGAGAAACCTGGCATCTATCACCAGAATTGTAGAGGTAATGTCACACATTCCATAAAACATGCCCTAGTAATGGACTTCCCAATGGACCTGAGCCATCAGTAAATACTAGACTTTTGGCAAGTAAACTCCCTTCATTTCTATAAGTAATCCACTGTTCAAAATTTTAAAAACACTAAAAACAGGAGAGTTAAGTAAAAAGTAAAACTCCAGATACCAGGCCTCTCATTTTTCAGTTGCAATGAACCCAAACAAATGAATTTTAAGAATACTATTACAAATTAGCTGTCAAAATCATGAGGCTGCTTAAGCTCCATCCTGAAAGGCCTGAGGTGGATGGATCACGGGTGATGGTCAGGTGACCGACCACAATGGAGAAATTGTAGAGGAAAGGCCCTCGTTTGCACAAGTGCAACAAATATGGGAGGCATGTCCTGCCACATTGGACCAGAACTGTAACTTAACTGGCCCAATGAGCTGTTTCTGACTGCTTCTGGGAGAGAAATCAAACCCCATGCAATGGTGCCACAAGATAAGAAGACCTTCAGGTATAGACAAGGCCAGCCTGCCCAGGTTTTTAAATGGCTGAGTGCTTTGACCTTAGGACAATCCTGTTATACCTTATCACCATTGAAAGCCCAGTCGCCTCGGTCACCATTGAAATCCAAGTCTCCCCCATCACTCTTACACTGCCTAGCAGACTCCACATATCAAGTCCGGAGCTCTTCCCAGCCTTCCCCTCCATACAAGCCAATCAGCAGACCCGTTAAGCCCGGGTTGATCATCTCATCCCTCCACCTGCAACTTCTCTAAGCCTCCCTCTGCCTGCACCTGATTTCTCTAAGTCTGTCCTCTGAGGACAGATTCCCCTGCAGCGTTCCCTAGTGGAAGTTGTGTTTTCCCAAGGCCCACTTACCATGGCCTCAGGATAGGGCTGGACAAGTTCCCTCCCTGCTGACTCTTACCTCTTGGATTTTATCTTGCCTCTCTCCTTTTTAATCAGACTTTCCCTACTCCAGACCTCTTGTGCTCTCATAGACTGAACTGCCTGTCCTTGCCCTCTTCTTTGATGGCTTCAGCCATTGTCTCACTATTTCCATCTCTCTGGCTTCTCTCTTCCAGCAGTCTTTTCCTTGACTGCATTTCATCTCACATTCACATGGTCCTAGACTACATTTTGCCATTTGCAGTAACTATAGCTCCTCAGAAATTTGTTCCAGTCATCTAATCAATGACAACTGTCTCCTGTCCTTTGGCCCCTTTTCTCCAGAATGCACATTCTGACAATTCTCTAGGCCTATAGCTGAATCCATGAACGCTCTGGCTCCTTCACACCCCATCCTTCATGTCCTCCTTTCTCCCGAGATCCCCAGCACCCACTTCTCTCTACTGATAACTCTGATTCAGAGTTCACAGAGAAGATAAATTTTGTTTAAATCACCTTATCCACTCCCCTGCAATTTCATCAATTTGTCTGCATCTGTATATATATTCTCTTTCCCTCCTTTTTTATGAAATAGATATCAAATTTTTATCTACATTTTTAAGTTCATAAATATATTAGCAATTTCCATATAATAAAGTATCTTATAAGTGAATAATATATACTATTATCCATAAATTAGCAATGAATAATATATTTGTGTAAAGTGATATATCAATAAGTTATTTATTAAATGTTTATTACATAGCCTATGGCTCCTATCTAAGGCCCAATTCCTCCCCTGCCCATCTGGCCAACAAATTCTATCCAGGATCCCTTCCTCTCTTGCTTTCCTAAGGAATCTCCTGGATTTCCGTCTTTCCCGTGCATTTATTCTGCTTCTAGTTCATCGTGATTGCAGGCAGTAATCTCCTGTCATTTCTGTATCATCAATTTATTTTTCTATCTGGAATCATTTACTTTGAACTACAAAGATGGCTGTAACAAAAACCTCCTGTCATTTCTTTAAAAACTGTGTCTTGACCTTGACCATGACCTTCTCCAGCTACTACATCATTTCTCTGTCCTTCTTAAGAGAACATATTATTGAAAGGTTTGTCTTAAGTGTTTTCACTCACTCACTATGCCTACTTTTTAAAGCCAGTTCTCTCTAAAGCCACCTCAATCAGGTGTCCATCCCACTAGTCCACTGAAACGGTTTTTATCTAGTTTGCCAATGACCTCCCCCATGCCACAATCAAAGGTCACTTCTCTGATCTCATTTTTCTCAGCCTCCCACTAGCATTTGCCAGTCAGCTTTCCCAGGTTTATTGAACACTTCTTTTTTCACTAGGTGAACGTATCCCCACACTTACTTACCATGGTTTCTTCCTAACCTACTGGCCACTCCTCCTGGGGTCGTTTGCTGGGTTTTCCTCTTCTGCTTGAACTCTAAGTCCTTGGGCGCTCCAAGCCTCAGCCTTGGCCCTTTCACCATGGTCTCATTCAGTCATATGGTTTAAATGCTGGCATATGTATTGATCTCATCCAGAACCTTCTGTACACACCTTCTGTGTTTAATTATGACTACTTTTTTGACATTTAAAAACTATGACATTTAAACACACATTAACTATGAGCATTCTCAGTTGATTTCAGATGGGAAAGTCAACCAAAATGCACCATTGTTACATTCTGATCTCTTCCCCAGTGGGTATTCCTTTATGAGACCTCATCAGCTGCTTGCAGTGCATCTCTTTACCTCCCTGCAGCCTCTCAAACCAGATTTCACATTCCTAGCCTCTCTAAAATGCACCAGTCAAGATCATTTTACAACTCTTCCTGTCTTCTTTTCCTGGCAGGCTACGGCTTTATAAAGGTTCTGTTTTAGATCTCATTTCCTGATCTCACAACAGTCTAGGCACGGGTCTCTTGTCACCTTCTATCCATCATCCTGGCTCTTTCCTCTGTACCCATAATGAGATGTATAGATTAGAAATTGGAGGCTCGGGAAGCTAGACTTGGTTCCTGTAATTCTCCACCATCACATCTGATAGATTTCTTGGAGCTTGGTCTGTGAGGCCTCCTTCCTGCTGGGAGAGGAATTTAACCATTTTCCTGAATTTTCCCAATTCCTGGACATGCCTTTAAAACTTCCAACAGCCACTCCTTCCTCCTCTTGTGGTCTCTCCTTGGAAAGCCTCCTGACAAACCTGGTGAAATTCAACTCTCCACATTGTGGATGCCTTAATCCTGGCAGTTCAGTGTGGTTGGCCAAGCAGCACCATTTGGCACAGCACATCACCCCTGTCTTCTTAAAGCATTTTCCTCATTTGCCTCAAGATCACTACACTCTCTTGTTTTCCTCCCTCTCAGCTGCTCCCCTCAGTCTTGCTTTCTGGTTCTTCTTCCTCTTTCTGGAATCACACATCATACTTGTTCCACAATTATGCAGAAAGTCATACCAGTGACATAGTACCACAGTCATATGTTCAGAAGGTTCTCATAGTGATGGACACAGAGTCATAAATTCACAAGTGACACAGACCACAGTGCTCCTACTCTAAGGTTTAAAACACCATGGAGGTATCCCAGAGCTGCCTTGATTTAATTTCCTGGGATAGGGCAGAAGGCTATGGATGCTTTGCCACAGTCACAGTTTCTGGGACATGTTTATTGAGGGAGCAGCAATGAATTTTAATCACTGTTTTATTTTTCTTCATATTTCCAGGTTGATGTTGATGCAAATTTACTGAATTCTAACGATGCTTTTTTCCTGAAACTGCCACAAAATAGTGGCTACATCTGGATAGGAAAAGGTGCTAGCCAGGAGGAGGAGAAGGGAGCAGAGTATGTAGCAGGTGTCCTCAAGTGCAAAACCTCAAGGATCCAAGAAGGCAAGGAACCAGGTGTGTGCTGTGGGGCCAAGGGCACTAACTAGAATATATATTGATATGATGGCTAATCATCCTTTTTTCACCAAAAAGTCACTTTCTAAAGACTTATAAGGGTTAACACTCTCTCCATTAGTTGGGGTTGGTGATGGTACCTGATTTCTTTAAGTAACTTCTCAACATTGATGTCAAAGTGAGATAATGTTTGTTCATGTAAAGCAATAGCAAGCATATGTCCCTGAAAATGCACTGGATGACTGAGTGTGTTTTCCACAGAGGAGTTCTGGAATTCCCTTGGAGGGAAAAAAGACTACCAGACCTCACCACTACTAGAAATCCAGGCTGAAGATCATCCACCTCGGCTTTACGGCTGCTCTAACAAAACTGGAAGATTCATTGTAAGTGTCTTTAAACAGTGGGATAGAACCTAACAATGCTGGGAGGGGCATTACCATGTGGCTCTGACACTGTCAGACGTGCTATTGTTTTGAATCTCAGTTTCAGCCTGCCTGCAAACCATGCTCTACACAGGCTGTTTTTTTTTTTACTTTTATTTTAAGTTCAAGGGTAAATGTGTAGGTTCATTACATAGGTAAACTTGTGTCATGGGGGTTTGTCGTACTGATTATTTCATCACCCAGGTATTAGGCCTAGTATCCATTAGCTATTTTTCCTCATCCTCTCCTTCCTCCCACCCTTCACCCTTTGATAGGCCCCAGTGTATGCTGTTCCCCTCTATGTGCCCACGTGTTCTCATCATTTAACTCCTACTTACAAGTGAGAACATGCAGTATTTGGTTTTCTGTTCCTTACACAAGGTATTTTTAAGGGATAATGATGTAATGAAAGTGAAAGCATTAATACTGTTATGTCCAATATAGATCAAGCTGCTCTTAAAAATACCAGCTACTTTACACCTCTGTGAGCATGCAGTTGCTGTATGAATATGTATGTGGTTGGATTTCTTAATTTAATAATTTGGCATTTTCTATGGGCAGCAATTGTTGTTTCTGATCAAACTATGTAAATTTTACAAGTCAATTTCCCAGCTGAGAAAAAATTTTCACCATGTTGACTGAATTAAAAACATTATGGAAATATGATCATTGGGCAAAATCACAGAAAGCTATATATGCAGTTGCAAATTAACTGAAATCAACAGGAATGATTCATTCCATAGTCATTTACAGGCTTTGACTTCTAGTCAATCAGAAGTAAAGTTAGAAGTATGTGTATACATGTCTTAGTTCAAGCTACTATAACAAAAATCCCATTAACTGTGTGGTTGAAACCACAAACATTTATTTTTCACAGTTCTGAAGGCTGGGAAGTCCACGATCGAGGCACCAGCAGATCTGACGTCTGGTGAGGGACCACTTTCTAGTCTCCTTGTGTCCTCACATGGCCAAGAGAGCAAGCTCTAGTCTCATTCTTTCCTTATAAGGACACTAAGCAGGGGCACTGCACCCTCATGGCCTCGTGAACCTAATTACCTCCCAAAGGCCCCACCTCCTACTACCATGCTACTGGAGTTAACAAGGAATTCTGGGGGAAACAAACATGCAATACAAAACAATACAAGAGCGATTTTACACTGCACTCTGGAATATCCTGGACCACAGCCTCTCACCTCAGTTTCAAAAAAAATGTTATACTCTGTTTGATGTACTAAGTTTTCGGTAAATTTTTCATTTAAAGAATTAATTCCTCTTTTATATAAAATTTGATCTACAGATTTTGGTCAACATGTCCTAGTGAATGAATGCAAACTTTATTTTTCAGCACAGGAAAGAAAATTTCCCATGTACTTTGCCAGATACTTTGATTACTAGAAATAAAATTATTTGAGATGAAGTGGTTCAAGTCCCACTTGCAGCTTATAAATGATTTGACCTACAAGTTAAAGATTTAAGCAGTGCATTGAGATAAATACTTGGTTGCTATATACAACAATTTGTTCACCTACTTTACAGGAAATCCCTGACCTTGTTATATTTTATAGATTTGTCATCAGAAAAATCTGCCATTTTATTGTTTTGACTGTTAACTTGATATTGCATCCAAGCAACTTATATTTTAGCATATGCTTCTGCAATTTCCTATTAGCATTATTTATCAACATTGCTATAAATAAGTTGTTTGTTTCCAAGAAAGATATGTTTTACAAAAATAAATACCGAGCCTTTGTTCTCAGTTGGGTTTTAAAAAAATCTGTTAGTTTTTGGCTTTTTGTTATGCACTTATATTAGCCTTTAGGAGAAATATACATTTCCTCTGCAGCAATTCACTTTCTTGTTTGATATCTGGAACCCCTTCTGCTCTCTTCATAGTTTAAGGAAAAGGATTATTGCTA